TGACAAGGCCAGACAACAAGAACCAACTGATGGTAAAATGAGAAATGCAAAATCGACACGTGTTTGATAGGCTTAATGAGCTCATTCTGTCTATGGTATCATCTGTTTTAGAAAGTAAATGTTCTTTAAGAAATAAACGGTGTACATTCTTCTCATATAAATATCAACCTTTTTTTTTTTATTATTTCATTTATAACTCTTAAACTTCATTGTCAGACAGTTGAACCCTGACATAAATACTGAAATTGTGTTGGAAAAGAAATCAGTATTCTACTTTTTTGTATTAAATATTTACTTTTGAAAACTCATGAATACCAAACTGTAAATAATTTGTTCATTCTTTCATTGTCATTAATGTTTAGTAAAGTTAATAATATAAATTTAATTTGCAAATTGCATGTAATAAGATTATTGTTGAATATCAACTTAAAATTATTGTAAAAATTAGCATATCATCAAATATTTTGCATTTATTCTAAAAGTTTGTGAATGATATGAAAGAGGTATACCACTATTTCAAGATAATACAAGGTATTTCACCTTGTTTGACCTGTCAGAGGTTCTTTGATATCTAAACGCTTCAGACAGAGTAAGCCAGGTAGCTGTTTAATGTTTTGTTATACCAAAGTATGGTATTTTTGGAACGAAAATGCAAACATTTATAAATAGTTTACTTTTTCTCATGATCTTAGGTTTCCCACGAGACATGAATTATGCAGTGATTAAATCAGACCTACAGAGTATTGAAGGAGTAGAAACAGTCCATAGTCTTCATATATGGTCTTTGACAGTTGATAAAAATGCCTTAGCTGTACACTTAGCTATAGGTTCGTATTGTTATGTCCTTTTGTTGGCATAAAAGAAAGATAAAAGGGGGTTTTTGGATTTCTTATCAAAATATTATTGTTATTTTTCTCCAAAACAATTATCTTGGTGTCTAATAAATTTTTTCATAATTAGAATATTAACTTCAATAATTTTATTAATATTACATTTCAGAATATTATCCTGTAAAAACAAAATTTCCACTTGCTTTCATATATAGCAATGTCCTGATTACTTTATATTATGCAACTTATTGCAAAAACATTTGTAAGAAGTGGAATAAAATATTGGAGGTTATTTAGCTCAGTGTTTTGATTATATAAAGAATCTGTATTAACATATAAGCATGGGTAAAAGTTTCCAATAATCATTTTGTCTGAAACATATCTTTTGGCTAGGGGTTTGGTGGTCTAGGTAGCCCCCTATAAACTCTGAGTTGTACATGCTCTCAGCTTCATTCTGAGCAGTTTGGACAACTGTCCAAATTAAATTTTAACTTGCCTTTATAGAAAAAAGAAATTCAGAAATCTCTTGCAACTTGTCATGTTACCGTGTGGATTAACCTGATAATCACACAGTTCTAGATAATTTTTTTAAAGGTTTAAGTATTAATTTTTAAAAACCTCAGTTGCAAAACGTATCATTTAATTAACCAATTATGACCCTTGAACAAATGAAAATGGTTGGAAGTTTAGAACAATAACTATTAAAATAGTGTTAGCAATAAAACACAAAATGTGTTTATTCGACATTTTACAACTTGACAATTTAAATTGTGCTTTGTGATCATGACTGGGAAAAGCCATTTTGAGAGATTTCTGTCTACGAGCGGAGAACTTTCACCCATGTATATGGTCAATTTTCAGGAGCAGTAATCAACTGATAGATCTTTTAGAATTGAACTAAAACGAAAAAGTTATTGCTAAACTTATACGTACATGTTTTCTTGTTTTTATATGTAGATCCAGAACTTGATCCACATACGGTTCTTCGAACTGCAGAATCTTTAGTGAGAAGAAAGTATGGTATTTATCACACCACAATCCAGGTGGAGAAATATGATGCTTCAACCATGTTGTCTTGTCACACATGCCAGGGACCAAGGCACTAAATTCAATTTACTGAAAAAAAATTGTATTGAAAGTGATGGGTATTGAAATGCTACAAATAGTTTCGTTATTGTACCAGTATATTTGGAGAGAGTAATCCATAGAAAAATAAATTTTCCTCTTCCTTTAACTATTTTTCAGTCAAACCTTATATGTTAAAAGTTATATTTTGTTTTTAGAGAGAATGTTCCCGTGTAGGAATATATATGCTTCCGTGTTTTACAATTGAAATTTTTTTTAGTAGATTACTTATGTGATTGTAACCATCACCACCTAATTCCGTATAACTGTCCCAATGTATTAAACGGAGATGATGGCTTTACTGCCAACGTGCACATGAAACTAAAAGGTACAGAGTTACTTATTTCAGTGCTCCAGAAATTATATTTTAGGAGAGATTTATGATATAGCAATTCGCAACTGCCATGGCAAATAATGCCCTAAACTAGATAGTTTTGCCAAGCGTATTTTTACTTACTTACATATATAATTCCTGTATGAAGTAAAGAGTATAGATGTATATTTAGCAAAGGATTTTAGATACTAGAGTGGCAGAGAATGGTAGATTTTTCTACAAGAGAATGAAATGTAAATGTTTAAATGACAACTCTGAAGACATTTTTGAAGTTTTCTTTGCACATCTTTATATACTTGTACAGTGTATGGTGAATTTACATCACATTTATATTGTGTCTTATATGTCATCTCTACATAATTACATTACAAACGGGTAAAAATACTCATGATGCTAACTTTATCAGTGAAGTATTATTTTAAATTGTACGTGTGTAAATTACACATTTTAAAAAATTTCAAATTTTTTTTTAGCAAACTAGCTATGGATCTTAGCAGTAATGTGAAACATCTCCAGTTAGTAGATGTTAATTTCTAAATAATATTTGGGTTTTCATTATCTGTAATACACACATAATTAAGCAGCCACATTTAAGGTGTATAACTTTCATTTCATTTTGTTTTACATTTGCCTTTAGTTGCTCAGCAGTAAGCGTGTGAAAGTTTATAACTTTAAAAACTTTGGTTTTGATTTTTTTTTATTGTTATGTACACCAAAATTGCAGTAATACTTAAAGTTCAAAACATATCAAATTGTTGTTGGAACTGAGCTATTTGTAATTAGAGTTGGTCAACTTAATCGATCAGTTGATGTAGTCAATTACCTTTGTATAATGATTACATCAGTTGGTGTTATGTAAATTTAGTGATTAATCATAATTACAGTTAAATTGATTGCTACAAAAATAATCAACTAACTGAAAGTAGTATTTCCAGTTATTCCAAAAATTTATTAAGTAAAATTACAATTAAATCAATTGGTATGAAAATAATCAACCAGTTGGAATTAGGGTTACTGATTATTAGTATTTTCTATTATTCCAACTATCCAAGTACAGTAAAAGCTTTACTGTCCTGCTTTTGCCAGACCTGTACAGTACTGAATAAGTAAAAATTCCAGTTACAAAAACATTTCCATTATGTGATTTTACAGGAAAAGATTTTGACACCTTGTTAGTATCCTAAAGTACAGTATTTTATATATCGTATAACAGTTTTAAGCAATAATAAACTAATCTGTGTAAAATGATTTATAAGTGCAGTATTTTAAACTTGAATCGCAGTATGTGCAACTAACATCTGAAGCTTACTAGTGGAAAAGAACATAAACAAAGCCACAACAGCACTATTAACTCTAAACAGGTAATTTTTTTGCGCATTCTACCAGAATTATTTTCATGATGTCTTAATAATTATCACCATACCTTATAAAATGTTTGGTCTATTTATAAAAGGTGAATAATAACATGGCTTGGATTAGTTTTCAGACAAAGAGACATAAATATTATTGGACACTGTCACCTTCCAATGGGTAAATCGGGATTTTCAGCCGGACACTGGCAGTGTCTGCTCGGGCTTAAGGAGTTAAGCTACATTGAGCATTTGTTTTTGGACTTCCAGATAGAGAGATGCTCGATAACAAAGCTTTTAGTGGAATCAAAATATTGCTTTATGGTTGGATGTTTTAAGTGCAAAGCTATGATCATATAAGTAGAAAAATGCAAAGGTGATAAAATAAAATAGACTTTTAGAGGAAAAAAAATCACCTTTAAAAACTATGATAAATATTTATAACTTGGCGACATTTTGAGCAAACATTTCAAGCCAGAAACAAGCCTGTCGGTTAATTGTCTGGCTTGAAAAAGGACATTTGCTCAAAACATCACCAAGTTAATAAATTATTATCATAGTTTTTAAAGGTGATTTTTTTTTCTCTAAAAATATAATTTATATATATGTATATATAATGTGTTATCTCTGCTTTGCCCAATCTTAGCATTATATGCTGTTACTGTTTTTTTTTTTTTACTTTAAGTTTGTTCAGCCTTGTGATTCAGAGGGAGGGAGTCATGAGTCATGGATTTTCGAATTGAGTCCCATTGCTATCAAACCTGTTCACCCAGTCTTTGGTATGGCAAAGCTACTAAGGCTATTTAACACTACATTTTAAACTGATGACTAGAAGGAGGGCAACTGGCTGAAAGCACCTGCCACCAACTTTTTTCTTCTTTTTTTGCTTATACATACTATGGTTTGAGGAACACTACTAATTGAATGTGGGGGGGCTGTCAGCTAACCAGTTAGCAAATACCGCTAAGTTCTCAGTTCTAATTAGTGTGGCACTTCTTATTTGTTTGTTAAAGAAAAATATTTGTTTCAAATGCAATTTAGTTGTCAGTGATAAACTTAATGGGTGAGAAACCAAGTAAGAAACAGTTCTTTAGGCCTAAAATGTATAAAGTAAGTTATTAATGATTGCTGTTGTGAGAGAAAAAAACTAAAGACTAAAACTCCTTCAGGCTTTTATTGTGTGATATAAATGTTTATAATTAAATTAAGAAGTGGATTAACAAGGTTCTGTGTATATTATTAGTAGTTTATGTTGTTTTTTTTTAATTACTTAAAATATAATTAGCAAACCAGAATATCAATGAAAATAAATAACATACTCTCTTTTTATTTGACATGAGGAAAAATTTACTTTCTTTAAGTTAATACACCTAGTATTCAAGCATAGTATAAATTATTAAATGGTTTTCAAGTTTATAGTCAGCACTTTTATGTAGGCATTCAAGTGTGGTAGCCTTAAAGGCATAGGCTTATTAGTGTATATGACTTTTTCTGTAATTTGTAGGGAAATTCGATAGTTTTTCTTTTTTCTGTCTTATTACTTCTTTTTGATAGGGTGTTAGATAAAGTTTTGTAATAATGTTGGGCTTCCAACTTTTTTTTAAATTAACCCTGCGTGTCAAAGAGCACATTCCACCAATCTTTTACAGAGTGCCATTCAACATGGTATTATATAGTTGATGTTAGGAACTAATCATTTTACCTTACCTTGATGATATAGTAGAGGAAAGTAAATACCAAGTACAGTACGTTAAAAGTTCACGTTTTGTTTAGATTCATGTACAGTAACTTTGGAATTATAGACAACATTCCTTCCCTGGTTTTATTCAGCAGTGAATATATCTCTTTATTTCCTCCGTAAATATTTTTCAATTTAATGTTTAAAGGTCTATCTCTATAAAGTCAGCTTATCAAGTTAACAAGCCATCTAGATAGATTCACATTTCAAACACACACTCAGTCAGGTTTTATTGTTTATTGCTCTTAAAGCAAATTACATCAAGTTATTTAATCCAATTGTTTGGTAACTGTGAATTTGGTATACATTTTTACATAACTGTTGTATGATGTTGAACCCTTCATGATACTTCCTTGTCTAACATGGGTAATTTACATTCCATTTACATATATATAAATTGACCAGTATTGAATATGATATAGTTAATGTTACGTAAAACTGTAATATCAAGTTATGTGGGGTTTTTATGTTCGAGTTTAACGGAGAAAACAACTTTGTTTGCATTATCAATAGAACTTGGAACTGAAAGTGTATTAATACATAACAAGTACACCTCAAATTTGTTTGTTTTTAAATTGAATTTTTGTTCAGTTATTTTTAGACAAATTCCTCACTATTTATGTATATCCAAGATTTATTTTCATATGTTTAAATAATTAAAATATCTCAAAAATATTTTGCAATATTTAATAGCTTAAAAAGAGAAAAAGTAGTTACACATAATTTTTACTTCTATTTGTGTACAATTTGAAGAATTAAGAAATGTGTGTTGGAGAGTAAATATTCACAACAAAAGATTTGCTCTGTTAGATTATTACAAATGCTAGTTTTATAAATCCTCACAAAATTGTAATATTTGGATGCATTCAAAAGATTTTGTTAGAATATCAAAAAAAAAAATAACTTACTAGGATCTAGATTTATAGATCAGCTTTTAATACATGTATGAAATATAAAGAAAATTGAAATAAAATATAATTGATTAGAAAATGGTTAAAATAATATTAATTGTTCCTCACTCTTTGAAACTTGCTATAAATTTTTATTTTATATGTTCTTGTAATGCTCAATTAATATTTTTTTCATTATTCACAAAGGTTTACAGAATATTACACCTTGTGTTTCAGTGAAGATTTTTGTCAGGTTATTTACATTAAACCAATCTTCTATCTGAACATGTTTTACATCAACTTTGATGTGTTTTTTGTCTACAGAAATTTCCATCTTAATTAATTATGAATGATTTAAGTGCATTTGTACTGCAGCGAGATATATTTATGAAATTAGTATCTGCATGTTTAAACCAAATTCTTACACTGTGGACCAATCTTCACTAAAAAAAAAAATTGGAGTTTTAAACATAAGTTTCTATTAAATATTTATGTTCAGTCACCTAACAAGATCTATTTTGTTATATTACAATTACTGTATTTTCCATTAAATTTTTTTAAATATTTCGTTTTATTGTTACAAATAAAGGTTTTGAAAAGGTGAAATTTTCATTGACAAAACTTCTTGAATATTTAGGCTTTAAAATGTAAAAAAAAATGCATAAAAGAAAAAATACTACAATAAATTGTTATGAAATATTAAGTGTAAAATATATGTAAAAAAAATCAAGAATATGTAAAGAGAAATGTACATCTTTTTT